GTCTTGTCGTCGTCCGAGTGCTCTGTCTCATGGATCAGAATCTCATCTAGATCACGTGACTGCTGATGGGTACTTGTCGCGATATCATTGGTTGTTGATATGATATCCGTCATGTGAATATGAAATTGCTCAATGAAACCTCCCTCCTTCTCGTCGTCGTGCTCCTCTCCATCTGTCCCTTCGTGACGCTGATCATCTTCTATCGCAAGCCCGATGTCTTGCTCTCCAGCTTCTTCCTGACTTCCTGATTCTCCTCTTGCCATTCCCAGCAGATCTTCGAAGCGGTCTCCGTACTGGTCTTGCAACTCGCCCATTACCAACAGTACTTCTTTCATTTCCGTCACTTCGTGGTAGGCCTGAGTGCCTTTTTTCTATCCGGCTCAAAGGTACGTCCGTCCCGCTTACAGTCTGGACAATCCGCCCTTCTGTACCCCCGCTTACCACAGCCGTAGCAATTTCCTCGAAACTGACCGTCTCCTGGCTTCGGCGTGTGTCTAGGGTTTGAAATATCGCGTCCGTACATGTCCCCAAACAGTATCCTTCGGCCGAGTGACTTGTCCCCAACCTTACTGCGGTATCGGCCTCTTTCGCTTCTAATTTCCATGGCCCTCTCCTCTTCTATTGCCTGCGAGCGTAGCGTGGCGTACATTCGCGCAAAGTCCATGTCATTGGCTCTCGCCGTCGTAGGTCGTGCCTATCGATACTGTCTGACCGCGTTCTCTAGCCAACGCTTTTGATCGAGGTCCGTCTGTGTGCCCTTTGGCACCAGATTAACATGCTTGATTATCTCGTCTCTAACTGCCCTTAGCCCTGCTACTAGTGATCCTTGCCTTTGAGCTTGCTCGTACATAGACAACGAGTCTAGGTGCTCAATTGTAGCCTCTTGGGCTTCGCGGCCGTGAAACGTATCAAGTATGAACTTATTGACTTCATCACATGTTTGGAAGTAGTTGGCGTTGGCCTGAACCTTCCTTTTGTAGTAGGTCTTGGCCTCTCCGTGCAGAATGGTCTCGATGTTCCTTAATGCTGCGCCTTCCGGTACACCCCATTGATCTGCACAGTTTATGTAGGAAGAGTACACGTCCTCCCAGTTTTCCCCTTCATTGCCGGCATACTTGTCGGCTCTATCTTTAAATCGCGTAGCTAACCTGCTCAAGACCGAAATTGCGTGCGCAGAAAGTGGACCTTCTTGCTGACCAACATTATTTCTACTGTCTTCACGCGAGTTCCACCTGCTTGGTACTGTTGACTGATCCCTGGGCCCCTGCGTATATGGTGCGTTTGCTGCATGGTTTTCCGGCCCGGGCGTGTACTGGTTGTGTCTTCTGGTTTGTGCGTCGATCTCTCCACCTGCGTCGTGACCATGACCGAGGAATCTGTTTTCAAGAACCTGCGGCAACGTTTCTTCTCGAGGCCTTAGCCCTGGGGCTCTCATGTCAGCGTATGCAGGGATGTGTTCCAAATCATTCCTGTGCATACCCTCCATGTTGGTTTCTGATGATGGTGTGTCTTCACGGGCTTGTCGTTCTGCCCTGAGTGACGGCGTGGCCCTTGCTACGAGCTCACGGGCCATGTCGATTGCATCTTTTGTAGCCTGCGGGTCCCCGTAGTAGTCGGCCAGTGCTTTTTTAATCGTCAAGCCGCGGCGTTTTGCTATAACGCCCCCACGTCCGTGGATTACGTCCCTCACTTCTTTGAACATCCTAGGGGCGTTGGCGCTGTTCAGCGTGTTGGGTGAGAAGAGCGTCTCTGGTGGTAAAAGTTCCACGTAGCGTTCGTGGATGTCGTCCCCGGTGATATTATCCTGGATGAGTGACTCTAACCAGGACCGAACGTATACCTGTTTGTCATCCCCTTCATCCGGCGTCCATTGTAGCTCGGTGACCGCAGCAAATAGCAAATCTTCCAGTTCTTGATTCCCGGCACTATTGCGTCCCTCGCTCATCGTCAAAAAGCCTTCCAGTCCGACAAGGACAGCTGACCTATTCCGGAATGATGTTCAGACTATTGTCGAACCTGACGAAAAACCTAAACGCAGTCGAAAGGGGGAATACTGTTCTGCTGTGCTTTGATTCACTGCCAATGTTTGGACTGATAGAGTTTACCGTTCACCTCCTTGTTCCTACCGCACTCAGGCCTACTTGGTGACTGAGTACAGAGGAATTCTCGGGGGGGGATCTACCGCTAAGTGTTTTTTGTAGAGTTACCTAAAAGCCTTATATATCCGATATCCATGCAATTTGCTTTTCCGTTCCAGAGCCTCGTAGCACTGTGCAGTTGCCCGAAATGCCTTCCAGCTATCCGTTTGCTTCTTATGCTACCCGTCTGCAGCTGGATCGAGTGACATGGCGTTATTCTCCCTCTGTCGTTACACTTGGGATCCACATATGATTCATTGCTGTCGGTACTGTAGTCCAGCAATGTATGTATCTCCCTGAATCAATAAAAACCTCGTAAGTTATCTATTATGTCGCCCCTTGTGGTTGCTCCCAACAAAGTACAGACATGGTGCGTCAAACGACACTTTCAAAAGTTTACACACGTGATCACTTTTGTCTTTGTCAATGCACCCTTCGGGTTGCTCCATGTAGATGTCTTCATCCAAGTCGCCGTTCAAAAACGCAGTTACGATATCCATCTGATGAAGTTCGAGGTCGTAATGAGCAACTAAGGCAAGAAGTAGACGAATAGTGGTAAACTTTATGACAGGGGCATATGTCTCAGTATATTCAAGACCTTGCACTTGCTGGAATCCACGAGCAACAAGTCTGGCTTTTGCAGTTTCAACTATATTGCCATTTGCATCAGGCAGTTGCTTTATTGAAAATGTGCGACCACATGCTGTTATCTGAAAAGGTCAAAATCGAGTGACACGTGTATATGACTGCACGGTCCGGGCGCTCTTACCCATATCACGACATGACACGTGTAAAATCCCAGATTTTGGGGTTCCAGGGACGAAAGTGGCCTCTCGGAGGGTCATGCAAATTTGCATAGTTTTGCCAAGTGGAACCTTGGCCCGTAGCACTATAGACTACACAGGAAATACTGCAATTCTATTGGCCCTCAGGTCTAATGCTGCAAATCTGTTGGTCGAGCGTTGTCCACGTGTGCGTCATTGGCCTTGTGATGTACTTTAAATGGCCTGTATATGCCATAATTACGTTGTTTTGGGGGTTTCAAGTTGTTTGCCATGGTTGTAATGGGTAATTGCATGGGGCCCCCGGGCGGGACACATGTATGCCGTGTACACATGTACACGTCGCCAGGTGGATTCGTGTACGTACACATGTACACGCATCCAGGTGTATGCACATGAGGGTTTACAGTTTTACAGTGTCAGACTGTTTGCGATCCTGCGCGTGTCCGAGTACAGTACATGTGAATCAAAAGTACAACAAGTACTTCTCGCGAGAGGAATACAGTTGTGCGATTATTCTGTGTACGCGTCACGCTGTATGCGAGTCTTGCGTGAGCACGCGCCGTTGCACTGTGCTCTCGTCATGGTGCGCCGTTGGATGCAAGTTCATGACAGTACTCGTGTGATTTACATGTATTCTCATGTGAGTTGTGTAGAAAGTCTGGATGCACATTGTTATAACTTGCCATAATTATCTGACAGTACTTGCCGAAATTAGTAAGGTGAGAAACAAGGATACGTATGGCGATTGTGATATGAAAGACGTTTGCGTTGTTGGAAATAGACAAGTGCCAAGTTGTTCGTTGCACAACAATGAAGTCTGGCATGACTGGATGCATATTAGTAAGGTGTGAAACAGTTGCATGCATAGGGCCATGGTTTACAGTCATTTGGAATGTGTAGAAATAGTTGTGAGCTAATAGTTACGAATCGATTCGTAAGGTGGAAATCGAACAGTATGGTCGGGCCACAAGAGGACCGCGCTTGGTCGCGCATAGTAGAGTATGGTTTACTGGGAGTCGGAGTAGAGCGATAGTGTAGCACTCGAAGTGTATAAGTATCGCAGGAAAACGGCTTCAAAGTAAACCTCGGCACCAACTCCTTCACTCACACACATCAACCTGCCCTCCTTCTTTCCCTTGCCCCTCCGAACCTACCATTAAACCCATCTAGATGTCAAGATGTTTGACGCCTCAGATCGAGGAACAAGTTTCCAAGTCCGATTCTTGGGCTGCGAGGCAAGTTCTTTGTCAATGCCTGTCTGCCAAAATGCAGCTCTAGGACCGTTGGTTGCCTGGTGGAAAGTCTTGGGACCTTCAATAGCGACATGCGCATGTGAAAGAAGAGCAGCTGCAACGTTGCTCCTCCACCATGATCCGGGAGGTCTGCTGACTCGAGACGATCTTCGTACAGCTGGAGTCGGAGTTGGAGGAGTGACATTCGGAGTTTCGACGGCAGTTGGGACATCATCTTCATCTTCATCGTTCTCACTTACAGAGTGAGGGCCATCGTTTTCAAGAACCTCCTCCGAAACTTCGTCCTCTTCAGAACCAACCTCATCCGTATTTGGGGTATCAGCTGTATTCCCATTGTCGCCACCGAGCAATACAACGTCAACATCACAGTTGATTGAATCACTTTCGTGTGCAGGAATGTCATGCATCCCACATGTCGATTCATCAAACTTGACATCCCGTGACACAACAATTTTATTCAACTCTCCGTCCCAAAGTTTGTATGCCTTACTGCATTGCGAATACCCAAGAAACAGCGCTTCACGCGCTCGCAAGTCCAGCTTGCGGAGCTCTAATTTTGGTAATGTATACCAACATTTTGACCCAAATACTCGCAAATGGCCAACATTTGGACTGGAATTCATCCAAATGTGGTGCGGAGTTGTATTAACGGGCAAAGCGCGTGAAGTAACTCGATTGCGTACATATACCGAAGTGGCAAGAGCCTCGGCCCAGAATCGCTTACTGACCTGTTTATGAGAAAGCATAGAGCGGACAAGATCAATCAAAGTTCGATTTAAACGTTCAGCAACACCGTTTTGTTCAGGGGTGTACGCCGTTGTGAGTTAGTGCTGCGTACCGTTTAAATCTAAATGCGACTTGAATTCCGTCGACAAGTACTCTCCCCCTCGATCAGTGCGAAGCACCTTTACTTTGCGACCAGTGTGGGTTTGAGCCAACTTTTCATACAACTTGTATTTTGCAAACGCCTCAGATTTATTTCTCATCGTGTACACAACAACCCAGTTCGAGTGATCATCTACAAATGTAATGAAGTATCTCGAGCCACCAACTGACTGTACTTCAAGTGGACCGCAGACATCAGAATGTACCAAGTCAAGACAGTTCTGTGCTCGAGACGATGATCGCTGTTTTGGGATTACTGATCGCGTTGCTTTCCCGAACACACACGCAGGACAAATGAGAGGGTGATTGTCAGACTTTGGATTCATTGCACTGATCACATCGCTTTGACGAACGTTGATGCCACTTACCACATCATTGTGAATCATTGATGCGATTCCTTGTACATTAACATGGGCCATGCGTTCATGTAGCGTCTGCAGGGTAACTACGTGAGCAGAAAAGGTTTCATTCATAACGTCAAGTATGTACAAATCTCCAACTTGACTCGCTGTGGCAACTACAGTTGGTCCTGCAGTAACGAGGCATTTCTCATTTTCAAATGACACTTGCAAACCCTTTGAGACCATTTGGCTAACAGACAGTAGCGAGTATCCAAAATCAGGGACGTGCAAAACGTTTGACAATGTTTGAAAGGATGTGGACTACCGTTGACGTTCAACATGAATTCTACCTCGCCGTGACCAGCGAAATTAGCTCTAGCCTTCGTGCCCATGTCGACTGATCCAGATTGCATCTGTTCAGATTGCATCTGTTCATACGTAACGAACAAAGAGCGATCAAACGTAATGTGAGCGCTGCAACCGGAATCGACAAGCCATGACTTTGCATTTGCAGCCCTCTTTTCTGGGGTGGAAGTCGAAAGCAAGCAAGTAAAGTCACTCTCAGCAAAGGCAGCAGTGGAATTGTCATCTCGAGAAACGAATGCACTTGGCTTCAAGCCAGTTTTGCGTGACCGAAACCCATCTGGCGGTGCAGGTCGGCGCCCATTCACGTCCTTGCCCCAGCAACGCGCTGCAGTATGCCCATGTCTATTGCAATTCGTACATTTCATGTCGCGTAGAATAGGCATACGATTGACAAGTGCAGGTGCATGTGGTGATGAAGCAGAAGCGGTCTTCATGCTTTCTCGTTGCTCTTCTTGCAGCAGACGACTCTTCACAAACTCGAGTCCAAACACTTTATCTTCATTGCCAAGTGCGTCAAGAGCAACAATCAAGTTATCGAATCGTGGAGGCAAGCCATTCAACACAGCCATTGCAATTTCTTTATCGTCAATCTCAACACTCATTGACTGCAATCTGGCAGCAAGTTGCTTCACACGATTAATGAACACGAGCACTTTCTCGGATGGGAGCATGGATACAGTGTAAAAGTCGCGACGGGCGGCAAGTTTGTTGAGCAAAGTATGACGCTCAAACACATTCAGAATTGCTTCCCATGTCTCTTTCGCACTGCTACACCCTCGCACATGTTGCAAGTAGTCATCAGAAAGCGTGAGTCCGATGACTGCCTTTGCTTTTGCGTCACCACGGATCCATTTTCTCCGGTCATCTGAGGTCGCATTCTCCGGGATATCATCAAAAACGTATTGATCGACATCTCGGAGAGCAAGCAGTAGCTGGATTTTCTGCTTCCAGATGTAAAAGTTAGATGCGGTCAGCTTCTCGATTCTGACCGATCCAGAGCTTTGGTCATCCATTTCGCCGAATGGATGTACCCTTCGAGTATACAAGGTCTTCCGTTCCGGGATCCCAAGCCGTTAACCGATAGTCAACACAATGGCAAGCCCACCCGTATAGGAAGTTTGTAGCGATTACTCGGAAACGTTCTTGGTGCTTGTTCCCGGCGGAGTGGAACAAGCGTATTCTTCTTAAAATGCCTTAGGGCGCTACCCCTGTATGTCGGCCAGTGCAGGTCTTTCGACTGTGAGCAAAATCAAACGTGCCACGAGTAAGCACAACACTTTGCCTGTAGACGAACCAGGACTTTTGGTCACTACCGCGAACGGTCCCTGCAACCAAAATCGGCTTGTCCAAACTTGATACGGTACTACCCCAATGAGGTTTCCCACAACACAAGAATGAAACTGCCTTCGTCGTACTCGTGTGATTTGTTCACAATCACGCCTAGGGTCACCCTCTTCTGTGCGAACTTAATCAAGGTACGCGACCTTATACACGTATAGTGAGAGTTTCAGTGTTTAGGCACGTATTCTCTTCACCCAGGGGACCGAAGTCGTACTTATAGGGTAATACCGAGAGCGTTACCCACACCGCCGACGCACCTCCCGAAGGCAGAGTGCGGATCGACTAGACTATTGAAAATGTGCGACCACATGCTGTTATCTGGAAAGTGCAAAATCGAGCGACACGTGTACATGACTCGACGGTCCGGACCCTCACCCCATATCACCACATGACACGTGTAAAGTCTCAGATTTTGGGGTTCTGGGGACGAAAGTGGACTTTTGGAGGGTTATGCAAATTTGCATAAATGCCGAAAATTTGCATTTGGCCCGAACCGTTATAGGGCTACACAGGCAATACTGCAAATCTATTGGGTGTCGGTTCGAATGCTGCAATTCTATTGGTCTGTTATTGTCCACTTATATGCAGCCATGCTGGTGATATATCTTGAATAATCGGTATACGTTTTAATTACATCATTTCGGGGTTTCAAGTTGTTCACCATGGTTGTAATGGGTAATTACAGGTGGCCTTGGCGCTGGACACTTGTGTGCGGTGTACACATGTACACGTCGCCAGGTTGCTGCGTGTACGTACACTTGTACACGTCGCCTACATACGGTCCGGCGCGTGTCCGAGCACAGTACATGTGAATTAAAAGTACAACAAGTATTTCTCGCAAGAGACATGTACTTACGTGAGTATTCAGTGTACGCGTCACGCTGTATGCGACCCTTGCATCAGCATGCGCCGTTGTACTACACTTTCGTCAGCATGCGACGTTGTAATGTGCTCTCGTTATGGTGCGCCGTTGGATGCAAGTTGATGAGAGTACTCGTGTGATTCACATCGGATATCACGTGAGATGTGTAGAAAGTCTGGATGCACATTGTTGCTACCCGTCATAGTTGTCTGGCAGTGTGTACCGAAATTAGTAAGGTACGAAACAAGGGCATGTATGGGGACTGAGATATGACAGGACTTTGCGTTGTTGGAAATAGAAAGATGCCAAGTTGTTCATTATGCAAGAATATATTCTGTCATGTCTAGATGCAGATTAGTAAGGTGTGAAACGATTGCATGCATAGGGCCATGGTTTACAGTCATTTGGAATGTGTAGAAATAGTTGTGAGCTAATAGTTACGAATCGATTCGTAAGGTGGAAATCGAACAGTATGGTCGGGCCACAAGAGGACCGCGCTTGGTCGCGCATAGTAGAGTATGGTTTACTGGGAGTCGGAGTAGAGCGATAGTGTAGCACTCGAAGTGTATAAGTATCGCAGGAAAACGGCTTCAAAGTAAACCTCGGCACCAACTCCTTCACTCACACACATCAACCTGCCCTCCTTCTTTCCCTTGCCCCTCCGAACCTACCATTAAACCCATCTAGATGTCAAGATGTTTGACGCCTCAGATCGAGGAACAAGTTTCCAAGTCCGATTCTTGGGCTGCGAGGCAAGTTCTTTGTCAATGCCTGTCTGCCAAAATGCAGCTCTAGGACCGTTGGTTGCCTGGTGGAAAGTCTTGGGACCTTCAATAGCGACATGCGCATGTGAAAGAAGAGCAGCTGCAACGTTGCTCCTCCACCATGATCCGGGAGGTCTGCTGACTCGAGACGATCTTCGTACAGCTGGAGTCGGAGTTGGAGGAGTGACATTCGGAGTTTCGACGGCAGTTGGGACATCATCTTCATCTTCATCGTTCTCACTTACAGAGTGAGGGCCATCGTTTTCAAGAACCTCCTCCGAAACTTCGTCCTCTTCAGAACCAACCTCATCCGTATTTGGGGTATCAGCTGTATTCCCATTGTCGCTATCGAGCAATACAACGTCAACATCAGAGTTGATTGAATCACTTTCGTGTGCAGGAATGTCATGCATCCCACATGTCGATTCATCAAACTTGACATCCCGTGACACAACAATTCTATTCAACTCTCCGTCCCAAAGTTTGTATGCCTTACTGCATGCACTGCGAGTACCCAAGAAACATCGCTTCACGCGCTCGCAAGTCCAGCTTACGGAGCTCTAATTTTGGTAATGTATACCAACACTTTGACCCAAATACTCGCAAATGGCCAACATTTGGAGTGGAATTCATCCAAATGTGGTGCGGGGTTGTATTAACGGGCAAAGCGCGTGAAGTAACTCGATTGCGTACATATACCGAAGTGGCAAGAGCCTCGGCCCAGAATCGCTTACTGACCTGTTTATGAGAAAGCATAGAGCGGACAAGATCAATCAAAGTTCGATTTAAACGTTCAGCAACACCGTTTTGTTCAGGGGTGTACGCCGTTGTGAGTTAGTGCTGCGTACCGTTTAAATCTAAATGCGACTTGAATTCCGTCGACAAGTACTCTCCCCCTCGATCAGTGCGAAGCACCTTTACTTTGCGACCAGTGTGGGTTTGAGCCAACTTTTCATACAACTTGTATTTTGCAAACGCCTCAGATTTATTTCTCATCGTGTACACAACAACCCAGTTCGAGTGATCATCTACAAATGTAATGAAGTATCTCGAGCCACCAACTGACTGTACTTCAAGTGGACCGCAGACATCAGAATGTACCAAGTCAAGACAGTTCTGTGCTCGAGACGATGATCGCTGTTTTGGGATTACTGATCGCGTTGCTTTCCCGAACACACACGCAGGACAAATGAGAGGGTGATTGTCAGACTTTGGATTCATTGCACTGATCACATCGCTTTGACGAACGTTGATGCCACTTACCACATCATTGTGAATCATTGATGCGATTCCTTGTACATTAACATGGGCCATGCGTTCATGTAGCGTCTGCAGGGTAACTACGTGAGCAGAAAAGGTTTCATTCATAACGTCAAGTATGTACAAATCTCCAACTTGACTCGCTGTGGCAACTACAGTTGGTCCTGCAGTAACGAGGCATTTCTCATTTTCAAATGACACTTGCAAACCCTTTGAGACCATTTGGCTAACAGACAGTAGCGAGTATCCAAAATCAGGGACGTGCAAAACGTTTGACAATGTTTGAAAGGATGTGGACTACCGTTGACGTTCAACATGAATTCTACCTCGCCGTGACCAGCGAAATTAGCTCTAGCCTTCGTGCCCATGTCGACTGATCCAGATTGCATCTGTTCAGATTGCATCTGTTCATACGTAACGAACAAAGAGCGATCAAACGTAATGTGAGCGCTGCAACCGGAATCGACAAGCCATGACTTTGCATTTGCAGCCCTCTTTTCTGGGGTGGAAGTCGAAAGCAAGCAAGTAAAGTCACTCTCAGCAAAGGCAGCAGTGGAATTGTCATCTCGAGAAACGAATGCACTTGGCTTCAAGCCAGTTTTGCGTGACCGAAACCCATCTGGCGGTGCAGGTCGGCGCCCATTCACGTCCTTGCCCCAGCAACGCGCTGCAGTATGCCCATGTCTATTGCAATTCGTACATTTCATGTCGCGTAGAATAGGCATACGATTGACAAGTGCAGGTGCATGTGGTGATGAAGCAGAAGCGGTCTTCATGCTTTCTCGTTGCTCTTCTTGCAGCAGACGACTCTTCACAAACTCGAGTCCAAACACTTTATCTTCATTGCCAAGTGCGTCAAGAGCAACAATCAAGTTATCGAATCGTGGAGGCAAGCCATTCAACACAGCCATTGCAATTTCTTTATCGTCAATCTCAACACTCATTGACTGCAATCTGGCAGCAAGTTGCTTCACACGATTAATGAACACGAGCACTTTCTCGGATGGGAGCATGGATACAGTGTAAAAGTCGCGACGGGCGGCAAGTTTGTTGAGCAAAGTATGACGCTCAAACACATTCAGAATTGCTTCCCATGTCTCTTTCGCACTGCTACACCCTCGCACATGTTGCAAGTAGTCATCAGAAAGCGTGAGTCCGATGACTGCCTTTGCTTTTGCGTCACCACGGATCCATTTTCTCCGGTCATCTGAGGTCGCATTCTCCGGGATATCATCAAAAACGTATTGATCGACATCTCGGAGAGCAAGCAGTAGCTGGATTTTCTGCTTCCAGATGTAAAAGTTAGATGCGGTCAGCTTCTCGATTCTGACCGATCCAGAGCTTTGGTCATCCATTTCGCCGAATGGATGTACCCTTCGAGTATACAAGGTCTTCCGTTCCGGGATCCCAAGCCGTTAACCGATAGTCAACACAATGGCAAGCCCACCCGTATAGGAAGTTTGTAGCGATTACTCGGAAACGTTCTTGGTGCTTGTTCCCGGCGGAGTGGAACAAGCGTATTCTTCTTAAAATGCCTTAGGGCGCTACCCCTGTATGTCGGCCAGTGCAGGTCTTTCGACTGTGAGCAAAATCAAACGTGCCACGAGTAAGCACAACACTTTGCCTGTAGACGAACCAGGACTTTTGGTCACTACCGCGAACGGTCCCTGCAACCAAAATCGGCTTGTCCAAACTTGATACGGTACTACCCCAATGAGGTTTCCCACAACACAAGAATGAAACTGCCTTCGTCGTACTCGTGTGATTTGTTCACAATCACGCCTAG